ATTTGTAACGGATACAGCGCCGTGGCGCAGTGGAAGCGCGCAGGGCTCATAACCCTGATGTCCCCGGATCGAAACCGGGCGGCGCTAGTTTTTTTTTTGCTCTATTAATTAGAGAGGTAATAAACTAATAGGTGTATATGATATTACGGCGTCTATTAATACAAAAAGATGAAAAGAAGAGAATTATGTACTATCCTATATGTATTTATGCATTATTTCTTCTTATTTTTTTTAGAATTTTTCTTGTTCTTCTTCTTCTTTTTTGTTCTGCTTGTCTTTGATATGTTAGAACCATTCTGGGCAGCTTTAGTTAACTCTTGCGAAGAACTATTCTCTTTGTCAGCCACCTGCTTTAAGCCACTTTCATTGTGTTCTTCTCTTGAAGATTCCACACCTTCTGGGTTAACGTAAAATTCGGATTGACTTTCATTATCTATTAATGGTGCTCTTTCCGAGCTAAGTTCGCTTTCGGGTCCAGTAATGTTCTGTTCATATAACCTTTCTCTTAAATCCATCACTTCCTCAGGATCATTGGTAATTGCCGATGAACGGTGCCCTTCGCCAACTTTAGGCTCACCCGTTATTTCTTCGGCATCTTCTTTCTCATTGCTTGAAACTGACTTGACTGGGTTGTGAGATTTCGAAGAAGAACCCACTTTAAGTATATCTTTTGAAGATCTTCCGAAAAAATCTAATTCATCCTCTGGGTACCGTGGTGGAAGCTCTTCTCCCATTTCAAGAAGTTTATCACCTTCGGCAACACTCGAATTACCATACTCGGGAAGAGCAGCCAAACCTTGTTCGCCTTTTATTTTCTTATAGTCACTGTTTGAAACAAATCCATATTTTCTAACGTTAGCTTCGATCCATACGAAACCTAATTGACCTAAATTAACCTGAAATTTGGCATTCGACAGAAAGCAGCCCACAGCAGGATACAAATCTATAAAACATCCCCTCATGACATCCATAACCTTCTTACCATTACGAGTAATAAATATAGTTCCTGTACTCACGACATAACCAAATCCAACAATATCTGATTGTAGTAAAGGAGGTAAAACTAATGCATTATATTGACTGTTATCTCCTTGATGCTGTTGTAATGGCGTTGGAAAAGGCTTATTGACCTTCAAATTACCGGTTGATTCATAAGCAATGGAAAAGTTATTGTAGCCTGGTAGACGAAATTCACTGGGGTAAGGTTTAGTCACTAATCCGATAGCAAAGTGACCATTTGGATTTTCGTCGCCACTTTGAAATTCAAAAACCTTAACCTCAAAATAAATAGTATCGGAATACGCTCTATTCTTAACTGGTAAACTGTAATTCAATATAGAAGTTGCAGTAGAATATGGAGTGTCGTTATTATGAAAATGAATCTCTGTTCTATCAGCAACAATATAGCGCCCACGTAATATATCTGCATCTTGTTCAAACTCAAAAGCATTAATACCACGCTCCTTAAGTAACATGTCATCCTCATTTGAGTATGATTTACCCCTAGTGTTATGGAAGTGTGGTGGGTTAGTCTTGGTAAATTCCTCACCTCGCAAGTAAGAGAATTGCTCTTCAGGAGACAAGTGTGTAAAATCGTATTCTGATGCCAAATGATTCAAAGCTTCTTCGTCATTTAAAAATTCACGAGGAACATCCGATCCTAATATATCTGATCCAATATAGCTGTATTCATTACCTTCAGAACCATTAAAGAAAACCCTAAAAGCGCTAATGAATAATAAAAGACAAAAGCAAACGGAGACAAATATGAATACAAACAAAATAATAGAAGGATCCATTTTATATCAATATGTCCTTATAGCAATGCTCAATTCAAAGTTAATAAAAGAGAGTACCAATTATCATATAATTGACATTAGAACTTCGAATATTACATTCTTTATCGCAAATTTTATTCTCGGTCACAAAAATATCATCCTCATCAAAACTCTTAGAATAGTAAACGGTAAATTATTATATCTTGTGCATCTATAATTATACATAAAAGTATTTACAATGACTATATAACTACCTTCTTTCGTTTGATTTACTGTTCTTCATTAATGATCTAGAACCATCTTTAACCATAGGGCAATAATGCTTGTCTAATAAAACATTTTCCCAAAGAGTTGCAGCACCACTATTACTTCTTTCTAATTCAACTTCTCTATCAGATCTCTCTATACCTAAAATATAAGTACCCTCCCCGCTGATTCTTTCTTCAGTGTTCCATAAACCCTTTAAACTATCACCATATCTACTCATCAATTTACCAATAAACTTTAATGATGCTAAAGAAGTCTTTTCTGGTGTTTGCAAAATTGATATGTATAACCTTTTGGCAAAAGTGGTGGCTCTAGGTAATGTACCATTTCTTGAACGGAAGAAAACAAAATCTAAGCAACGCAATAATAATTCTGACTTTGTAGAAACGTTAACAGAAGGTTTTTCTGAGATGGTAGAGGCCAGCAAAGGATCAGCCAATCTCAATGATTTATGGGAAAATTCTAAGTCACAATCAAGCGCCATGTCACACAAGATATTATGCAAACATGATACGAATTTCGATAAATCGATTGTCATTGGTAGTTTACCGGTGGTTGAGTGGTTAGTGACTAAAGTAAATGATGTGGCAATACATAACAATACAGTTCTGATTTGCTTTCCATCATACATTCCTCCGAATTCGTCAGATATTTCAGTATCATCTGAAAGGGTATGCTCATCCATTATATCAATCATTATCTCTCTTAATACTTCTAAGAAGTCACCCAATAAATCAAAATTTGCCATCTGACCAAAGCGGGCTAAACCTTCTAATACAGATGCCATAAGATCGCTTGCACTATTGTTAGGAGTTGAAGATGTGTGCGAGCCAGCTTTTAATATTTCTAAATACAAAGCCAATAACATCTTCAACACTTGTGCTTGATACTTTTCTCTTTCCTCAATAGTTATAGTTTGTTCGGCCTTACGCATCTCTTCCTCGATTTCTTTTCTTTCTTTTCTAGCCTTTCTCTCTTTCTTAGATAAATGGACTCTATCTTTTTTCTTTAATTTTTGTTTAGGAGAATCATCTTTATTATTATTAGGATCATAATCTTCTAAAAGGGACAAGGATAAGAAAATATTTATAACTGATTCATCAACTCTAAACTTTTTATCTCTAATTGAATGACATAAAATTCTTATCACATCGAACGAAATATCACCATTCTCTTCGTCGTCCTTCAACAATGTTTCTAAAACTCTCAAACATTTAGTAAAGATTTCAAAATCTTCAGTATTATTAGGCTTTTTGTTAAGACGGCGTACAACAATTGCAATAATCTCGCTTCTATGATTAAAGTGACGCAATGAAGATAAACAAAGTTCACAAGCAGCCTTAGCAGCTAATTGCCCTTTTTTTATCTGTTCCGGGGTAATCTTTTTATTATTTTGAGAGTTCAGAAGGGACACTTTCGCTAATTTGGCCAAGTTGTCAACGTACAAATTGTAGTTACTTATCAACGACTGCTCAAATTGACGCAAACGGGCCACTTCTTTACTCACTTTTTCTCTTTTCTCTGTGTCTGTTAAAGGCCTGATTTTATAAGTTGGAGCTAATGATTTAAATACTGGAATCAAGGCCATCATGGATAATTGGCAGGTGACCATATTACGTGATTCTGACATTTTTCTTAATCTCGTAAGACACGGTATATTCTCTTCTGGGTCCTCAATTAGCTTCGATGCCAAATCTGCAACTTCTTCTTTAATCTTATTTAATCTTTCTTGAGGTGTCAAATCTGCATCTTCGTCCTCTTCTTCTTCATCATCTTTTTGCTCTTCCTTAGCCTCCTCCACTGGTTCTTTCGTTGGTTCTTCGGGCTCGATATCTTCTGCAACTTCTCTCACCACTCTTTCAATCCTACCGTCTGCCATCTTTATCGGTAATCCCTCGACCATCTTACTATCATTTTTTTTATTTCTTGGTTTCAATTCATAGTCTTGTTCTTCATTGTCCCAGTCTCTGATTTCATCATTTTCTGGTGCATCTTGGTTAGATGAAAATAATCCAGTCGAAAGCTGGGCGTCTTGCTCTTGCTTAGCCTTCTTCCTTTTGGATTCAACTTCCTTATTCTGCTTTCTTTTACCCATCCTTCAATATCGATACTAATCTATACACTTTATTTGCTTCGTTCACTTCAAATCGTTATGTACATAAAAAAATTAGTACCTCATCGCGACATTTTGCGATTATCTTCAGAACCACATTTCACCTTAAATCAAATGTCGTGATATCGGTACGGTCGTATAGAATATTACCGGATTGAAATTTTTCGGGCGCCCAGTTTTATTTTTTTCTGGTCCGTGTTTTTTTTTTTAAGGAAGAGATTCTTTTCAAGGTGTTTCACTTTTTGAAGTTGGAGTTGGTAGTAAGCGTATGTTAAAAGTATGAGTACGAATTCTACGTCTGATATTGTTGACAACTTGTCTGGTTCCTATGGGGACACAAGTTTTTTTATCAAAACAGTCACCGACCTTTACATGAACATGACTTGGTTACAATTAATTATCACCACAATTGTATTGGGGTTGTCGTATGATCAGATTATGTATCAAATCAGAAAGGGTAGTATTGCAGGTCCACGTTTGAAGGTGTGGCCCATCATCGGACCATTTTTGGAATCTTTGGATCCTAAATTCGAGGAATATAAAGCTAAATGGGATTCAGGTCCTTTATCGTGTGTTTCAATTTTCCACAAGTTTGTTGTTATTGCATCTTCAAGAGACTTGGCCAGAAAGATCTTAGGATCTCCTAAATATGTTAAGCCATGTGTCGTTGATGTCGCGATTAAGATTTTAAGACCAACCAACTGGGTCTTCTTGGACGGTAAGGCACATTCAGATTACCGTAAATCCTTGAATGGTTTATTCAGTCAAAAGGCTTTGGAATTATATATTCCAGTTCAAGAAAAGTATATGGATTTATACCTTGAAAAATTCGTTAACTTGGATGGTCCAACTGAATTCTTCCCTGAATTCAGAGAATTATTGTGTGCTCTTTCTTTAAGAACCTTCTGTGGGGACTACATTACTGAAGAGCAAATCGCCTTGATTACTGATAACTATTTCCGTATCACTGCAGCTTTAGAGTTAGTTAACTTCCCTATTATTATTCCCTACACTAAGACCTGGTATGGTAAAAAAATTGCAGATGAAACTATGAAAATTTTCGAATCTTGTGCCGGTATGTCTAAGAAACATATTAATGAGAATAACGGTAAACCAGGAAGTGTCATGGATGAATGGATTTATTTAATGAAAGATGCAAGAGAAAAGCACTCAGATGATCCTGAATCGAAGTTATTGATTCGTGAATTTTCAAACAAGGAAATCTCCGAGGTTATTTTCACTTTCCTTTTTGCTTCGCAAGATGCATCTTCATCCTTAGCTTGTTGGTTATTCCAAGTTGTAGCTGATCGTCCTGATATTGTTGCAAAGATAAGAGAAGAACAATTAAGAGTTCGTGATCAAGATCCTTCCAAGCCATTGAATTTAGATTTAATTAATCAAATGACATACACTAATAATGTTGTTAAGGAGTCTTTACGTTACCGTCCTCCAGTTTTAATGGTCCCTTATGTTGTTAAACAAAGTTTCCCAGTTACTGATACATATACCGCTCCAAAGGGTTCTATGATTATTCCTACATTGTATCCAGCATTACACGATCCAGAGGTATATGAAGATCCAGACAGTTTTATTCCAGAGAGATGGGAAAATGCTACTGGTGATATGTACAAGCGTAACTGGTTGGTTTTCGGTACTGGTCCTCATATTTGTTTAGGTAAAACCTATGTGTTGATGTTATTTACTAGTATGTTAGGTAAGTTTGTTATGAACTCGGACATTATTCATTATCCTACTCCTTTATCAGAAGAAATAAAGGTCTTTGCCACAATTTTCCCTAAAGATGATTTAATCTTAGAGTGGAAAAGAAGAAATCCACTTCAAGTCTAACATAATAGATATTAGACTGTATTATTTTTTATTTAATTTTGTTCTGTGTTTTTACCATAATTTTGATTCATTTTATTATCAAAATTATCCTGTTGATATAAATAATAGTTTTTCATTTCCATCGATTTAATATATGCTCCTTTTAAAACTTACACTTGATCTTGAATATCTTCTTTTATTTCAACTACGTCAATATTTAGAAACCGTTATTTCACTATAAAAATGAAGATACTTATAAATAATGAATATTCTAAGCATCGTAAGTAGAGGCAGAAACATTACCACCCTTACCGGTCCAGTTAACGTGGATCCATTGGTCTTTCTTTAAGAAATCATTTTCTTCACCTGGTAACACTTGGAAAGTGTGGGCACCGAAGTAATCTCTTTGAGCTTGTAATAAGTTAGCTGGTAACTTAGCAGATCTGTAACCATCGTAGAATGATAAAGCAGTGCTAAAAGCAGGAACTGGAACACCAAATTCAACAGCCTTACCAATAGTTGATCTCCAACCCTTTTGAGCCTTCTTGATAGCATCATTGAAGAATGGGTGGAATAATAAGTTTTCTAAGTCTGGGTTTTCACGATAAGCACCAGTGATTTCACCTAAGAAAACAGATCTGATGATACAACCACCTCTCCACATTAAGGCGATAGCTGGGTTGTTTAACTTCCAGCCGTATTCCTTAGCAGCTTCTCTAATCAACATGAAACCTTGAGCGTAAGAGATAATCTTTGAGGCATATAAAGCTTGTTCTAAGTCATCAACAAACTTTTGCTTATCTTGAATTGGAGATTCGTCACCTTCGACTGATGGACCAGCTAATAATTTAGAAGCTCTGACTCTTTCATCCTTTAAGGCGGATAAACAACGAGAGAAAACAGCTTCACCGATTAAAGTAACTGGCATACCTAAATCTAAAGCATTGATAGCAGTCCATTTACCAGTACCCTTCTGACCAGCAGTATCCAAAATCTTTTCTAATAATGGCTTATTGTCAGTTGGATCATTGAAGTATAAGATATCTCTGGTAATTTCAATTAAGAAAGAGTCTAAAACACCCTTGTTCCACTTAGCGAAGACGTCACCAATTTCCTTGTTAGAGAATCTACCAACTCTCTTTAATAAATCATAAGCTTCACAAATCAATTGCATATCACCATATTCGATACCATTGTGGACCATCTTAACATAATGACCAGCACCGGCATCACCAACCCAGTCACAACATGGTTCACCGTCAGACTTGGCAGCGATACTTTGGAAAATATCCTTGATGTGTGGCCAAGCATCCTTGTGACCACCTGGCATCAAAGAAGGACCGTATCTAGCACCTTCTTCACCACCAGAAACACCAGAACCAACGAATAAGATACCCTTACCGTTTAATTCTTCGTAACGACGGTTAGAGTCTGGGAAATGGGAGTTACCACCGTCAATGATGATATCACCCTTTTCTAAGTGAGGTAACAATTGTTCAATAAAAGCATCAACTGGTTTACCAGCCTTAACTAATAAGATGATTCTTCTTGGTCTCTTTAAGTTAGCACATAATTCTTCGATGGAGTGAGCACCAATGACTGATTTGCCCTTAGCTTCGTTGTCCAAGAATTCGTCGACCTTTGCCACAGTTCTGTTGTAAGCTACGACAGTGTAACCGTTGTCAGCAGCGTTTAAGATCAAGTTTTGACCCATAACGGCTAAACCAATTAAACCAATATCACCACTGTATTAATCGTTAGTATATTATTCATTTGAAGAAGAAGTCAATCCGATCTCGGTAGTTGCTCAATTATAGGCCATTTCTCATCAATTCAAACCAATGTATATGAAAACTATCAGAACACTACTCAATTACTTTACTGTGCTTCATCTATATCATTTCTGCTACTTTGTCCGCCCTGAAAGTTATAGCCTCTAAAAACTAACCTGGGGAAAATTCGCCACATGTTTGACCACTACCTATTCGACCTTCACTTCAGATAAATCAACTAAAGAATACATACGTTGGAGCAGACATTTTATATTATAACCTTTAAAAAATTTTTTACAATTGAAAACAATTAGAAATATAATAAATTACAGTTACCTTAGAAGTATTAAATATAAATTTTTCGACGTGTTTGCTTTGAGTCGTCTCGGATATGTGTGTACCGCAATTTTACTAATCTATACATTACATATTTATGACTCAATTAGTAAGGTCGTTCGTATAACCGGATGTTATATTTACCATTTAAACTAACGTTCTCGACCAAGTCGAGAAGTTTGTCAATAAGTCCGAGCTAACCACTGAAACACATTTCTATTATTACCCCGTACCTAGTATCTAGATAGAACCATAAATCAAGAAATATAAATCGATATTGATGGAAACTAAGTTTTCGCCTTTACCGAAATACCCCACTAGTAACAACTAATCAACGTAAATGTAAATACGGAATTCTAACACAAGTTCCATTAATAATTGGGTACCTATTATGGACCCAATAATTTTTCTGGGTGTTGCGATAATTATTATTGTTTACAATTGTGCTCAATAGCAATATTTTAAAATCATATAAATCCAAATTCTACTGGAGTTACCTAGAGAATACCTTACCTTGTGGTCACCGATGTATTCCTCGTGGGCGATATTAGAAACATAGGCTTCATATCGTATATAAGACTTAAAAATGGCCCTATATCAACTATTTAGCAGCTAAATAGGCAGTTGTCACGTGCGATTGTCTGATTTGGTATCATATATAGCAGTGTTCCAGCAGATTTTTCATCAAGTTTTATAATCCTAGTTCCTATATATTTCGATCTTTCTTTAGAAAACAATGCCTATTCCAGCTCCTCACGGTGGTAAATTACAAGACTTAGTCATTCGTGACAGTTCTATCAGATCCGATTTGTTTAAAGAAATCGCTGATAAGAAATACAAATCGTTGACTTTAAGTCCAAGACAGTTGTGTGACTTGGAACTTATCTTAAATGGTGGTTTCTCTCCATTAACTGGATTTTTAAATGAAGAAGATTACAACAGTGTTGTTCACGACATGAGATTGTCGAGTGTTAAAGATGAAAAGACCGGTAAGGGTTTGTTATGGCCAATGCCAATCACTTTAGACGTTGCTCAGGAATTAGCTGGCGAACTCTCTAAAGGTGAAAAAATTGTCTTGAAGGATTTAAGAGATGAAAAGCCTTTAGCCTTGTTGACTGTCGAAACTATCTACAAGCCAAATAAACAAACCGAAGCTGAAAAGGTGTTCAGAGGAGATCCTGAACATCCTGCTAATAAGTATTTATTTGAAACTGCACAAGATTTCTATGTTGGTGGTTCTATCCAAGGTTTAGATTACCCAACTCATTACGATTACATTCCGTTCCGTAAAACTCCAACTGAATTGAGAGAAGAATTCTCAAAATTAGGATGGGACCAACAAAAGGTTGTTGCCTTCCAAACTAGAAACCCAATGCACAGAGCCCACAGAGAATTAACTGTTCGTGCTGCCAATGATCTTGGAAGCGATGGACATATTTTAATTCATCCAGTTGTAGGCTTAACAAAGCCTGGTGACATTGACCATCATACCAGAGTCAAGGTTTACCAACAAATCTTAAAAAAATATCCAGAGGGTTTAGCCACCTTATCTTTATTACCATTAGCTATGAGAATGGGTGGTGATCGTGAAGCCATGTGGCATAGTTTAATTCGTATGAACTATGGTGTCGATCACTTTATTGTCGGTAGAGACCACGCTGGTCCTGGCTCAAACTCTAAAGGTGTTGAATTCTATGGTCCATATGATGCTCAAGAATTATTAGCAAAATATAAAGATGAATTAGAACCAAAGATCAAGGTTGTTCCATTCAGAATGGTCACTTATTTACCTGATGAAGACAGATATGCTCCAATTGATACCATTGACACTTCTAAAGTGAAGACTGCTAACATTTCTGGTACTGAATTAAGACAACGCTTAAGAGATGGTACCGAGATCCCAAGCTGGTTCTCTTACCCTGAAGTTGTAAAAATCTTAAGAGAGAGTAACCCTCCAAGATTCAAGCAAGGTTTCGCTATTCTTATTGATTCATCTGATTCAAAACAAGGTGAATACTTATCTTTTGCTTTACAATCTACCTTGAACCAATTCTCAGGTGAACGTCGTATTACCAAATTATCCAGCGAACAAGCTAGTCCTTTCATCGTGAATGAATTAGTTAAATCTGGATCTGGAGTTATAGTGCCAACAAAATCAAATCAATCTGATATTGTCAAGGCTGTTGGAAGTGGAAACGCTATTGTTGTCAATATCAATGGTGAGCAAAATACTGACCAAGGAATATTTTCCTTAAATAAGAATAACGATGACTTTGATTTGACCTCTGTTATTAGCGATATAGTTGAGTATTTAGTCTCTCAAGGTTTTTACCAACAATCCTAGATTAGATTCGTATATTTATTTATAGAAGCTTCTTGTGTACAAATTAAAAACCAGACTGAAAGCTCGATGTTCTTTTTACTCAGCGCTCAGTATTTTTCCTACTCCAATTGTATGAACCTATAAATAAACTACGTAGTGTATTATATATTTACTTTTTCCCGAAATAGCTAGATAAAATACTTTTAAGCGAATAATTGATTGAACTTTAATTAAAATATTCAGATTTCGAACAAGATTTTGGAAGTTAATCCGATAGAGGAATTTTGGTTGCAAAATTTGTAGAAATAGTGCGAAATTATCTAAATCTTGGTTAGTACATGCGATTATTCTTACAATTTTATTAGCTCTTACTAATCTTAAATCGAAGCATTCATGGAGCAAGGCAAACTGACTGTCTTATGGCTTCCTTGAATTTATCTAGGTACAGTTCAGGAAAATAAAGCTAAAATATTTTATCGAGCGCAACACTGTCGAAACAAATATCATTAATTTAAGCATATGTCAAACTAATTAGTATCATATTTAATCTGAGACCATACTGTGTAGCTGATTCTGGAGAACTTATACCACGATTATTAAAAATATATACCAAAACAAGCCAAACGTATACTTTGTCCAATCGTTAACCATGTTCATTTTTAACCTACACGTCGAGGAGTTTGCGCTGGGAAGTTCAAATAAAAAAAAATCTAGGTGCTTCAGACTGAAACATATAAATCAGAATTCTCTATTTAGCAATATAGATATTCATTCGTCAATATTCGCAACTGTAAAATATTGTAATGTTGCAGATTAACCACTTGGATAAATTCAGGTTTCAATTCACCGTGAATAATGCTTGATATAATTGACTGCCTCCTAAGAATGTATCTATCGCTTATAAAATCCACAAATAATCTGTCTGTGAAAAAGTCTATTTGTTCTACCACAAATGTAAAATAGTATAAAAAAGCCCAAATGACGACGAATATATACAAGATAGATATTTTTTGACAAGCTTTTTCACAAATGGCACAAATCATAGATATACAAATAGAACCTATTTTATAACCACCCGTAGAAATAAATGGTCCAACTAATGCATTAGAATGGCTTGAGCCATCTTTATTAAATGAAGCCCTTCGTTATTTTGCCAACTTGCAAGCAGAATCGCGACAAGTAAGAGATAGCTATTACACATAAAAGTTCTATGACCGGACAAACAGGCTATATAAAGACAAAGATGCAGTCACAGGCTATAAAACCAGAAAACTTATAGCTTTACTTCAAATATGGGCCGCGAATTAAGCGATCTTTCGCTGAATATGGAAAGAGTGAATGAGTAATTATTTCTAAACCCCGATGGTACTCGTTCTAGCCATGAACAAGCCCCAGCTTTAGGCCATGCAGCTCTTAACCAAATGATGACGCTGATTGTTAGAATTAACAACGTATTGGAACAGTTTAGGCACGAAATGGGGGTGTTCAACAACGAAATGCAGCAGTTTAGAAATGAAACAAACCAGCGATTAAAAAACTTAGAAATATCAAACAGAACTTCAGTTTCACGTTTTGATAGCCAATCGGAGGATGAAGGGGAAATCGAAACTCCTCTGATGCCATGCTATTTAATAGCTCCTTAAGGAGAAACCGTATTTCAATGATAATCCATGAACGGATGAATCATGAACTCATATATCCAAAAAAAAGGCATTCTTGGGTACCATTTGAATGTTCTGTAGCATTGATGCGGAGATCCAATTTCACAATTAAAATTACACCCGAGGGAAGGATTATAAACTGAATTGCTTCCAAGACATTTTATATCTATCTTATCTTTTTACCATAGCATGCTACTATGTGATTACATTCCATCATAACTGCTAGTATTTTTTTGGTTTTATTCCTATATAGGTATTATGGGTAAAATAGGTATAAACATAAAAAAAAACATAATAGCCAGGTAAGCCGATTGCATGAAGACAGAATTGTAGGATATTATGTACTTATTCCTTTGCTTTCCATGGATGTAATGCTTCTGAATCTAGAAATAATTACTTCTTATTCAAATTGAGCAGCAAGAAAAGAGGAATGCAAGCTCAGAAGTGGCCTTATTATCATTAGGGAGCCCAGCTTCAAATACAGCATCGTACTTCGACTGAGAACCAGAGAAACGAATATGGGGAGGAATTTCAGTCATAGTTCTAAAGGGAAATGAGAATTCATCAAATTTAACATTTTCACAAATAGCAATTTTTCCTGTATCAATATCAAATATACGGTATGCATTTGAACCTATACCATAACCAACCATGATACCTCGGATAGAGTGAGTTGACAGCATAGAAGATCCCCGCAGGGTTGGAATAAGAGCACTTGCCTTACATCCAAATGGCCGTAAATTATCTAAGTTAGGCATTTTCTTATACCACCGTTTGTAAGGGTATTGCATTTTGATAGCATTCGACGGTAAACGATTAGTAATATAATTAGAACAGGTAACAGCTTCTGACCAAAAACTTAAGGGTGTAGATGCATCCGACATCATTATTCGACTCTTTTCTGTGATGGTACGAATAGCTCGTTTACTCACGGCATTAGGGTAACTAGAGTACGGAGCAATACATTGGTGAGCAATTCCACGAGTTTTAAGAAAGCCCTGCAACTCGAATGATAAATATTCATAATTGTCATCAGTACGAAAAGCTACCGGCTTGTAACCACCTCGATTGTGAAAGAATTCCTCAGCCTCAATGAAATATGAGCGTGTACACTCAAAGACTTCAGATGTATCTTTAATGCAAAAAGCTCTCTTCATATGAGTGTATTCATCAACAAAGATAACAAAATATAAGTTGTTCCCAATGCCCGGTTCAGGAAAGGGACCACAGACAGAGGAGTGGACAAGCTCCAATGGAGCTGTAACAGAACTACGAGAGGTAGTCGAAGTCTGTTTCAGAGATCTAATATATTCTTCCAACTGAAATTTAATAGTCTCCGAATAAGAAGGAAACTTTTTCGCCAAATCATTCACAATATCACGACTAGGACAACCGAAACGAGCATACAAATTCGGGGTGGTATTAAGAGCAAATCCAGAGTTACTGCTAATTGAAGGTAAACAAGGCAATGAAAACTCGTAACGTAGACCATGGTAGGGAGCCGTACGGACCGCAATCGGAAGGTCACTGTAATTGTCATATACAAAATCGTGGCGGATATTCCAAATTGCCCCATTGAAGACGGCACGGCTAAAAGAAATCAAGTTTCGACCACAAGAAGGTATATATTTCACGTCCCCAAAAGTCACCAAGGTACCGTCAGGAAACAGAAAATGCAAGGTACCAGTACCAAGAATCTCTAACATATTATCAGGATCAAGTCCCGAAATCATTCCCGAATTATCAGAGCTAAAATTATGGAGTAAATCTCTCTGATAAGTAACATGAACAAAACCGTCGGGCTCAAAAAAGAAAGTATCTCTAGGGTCATCGTTGTAACCATCATATCCCTGGTACTCCATACCGGACGATGTCTGAATACCTGCTTTATGGATTGGTTTACAGCGCAAGCATTTCAATTTATCATTATTACGAGTAGTGCAGACATTCAATGTATGATCTTTACCACCACATTTGTAACAAGTTATGTTAGACTTGATTTTCGGATAAGCTTTCTTCAGGGCAGTAGATTTCGTATTCTTAATAGATAACGGCATATGGATCTCGTCGATATTGATGAGTTTTTGAGATTGATAGCCTGAGTGCAATATAATATACTTTACTTAAACGCGTAATGATGTTAAAGATTTTTTTGCCCCCTTTTATACAATAAGACTTGTTGAAACGTCAGAATAAATTAATATTGGGCTAGAACTTGTGCGGTACCTTACATAATCTGGCTGAAATCTTATCTTATCTATATTGAATAATACAGTAATTTCTCTATTTCAATATTCATTTTCGTTTGTTATTAATATACTCAGATATACACAGTCACTCAAATTAGTAAGGGATAGTTTATTTAACATGTTTATCAATTCATGGATAATTTACTGAAATATTTGGTTAATATTTGATAGATAAATGTTTTAATGAGCATTCAATTTAATTGAGAAAAACACACACCAGTTGCAAAATTCTATAAATACTATATTGACAAAAGAAATGAATCACATAATGAATATCTCCTCATTTATACCACTTAAATGACCTATGAGGAGAT